GCTCATCCCGGAACGGGAGGGGGGGGATGGGGGGGAGGGGGGGGAGGGGGCGACAAATGGTGTCGTTGTTGCCGTCGACGTTGTCGTTGTCGACGACGACGACGACGACGACGACGACGATGACAGGCTCAGAGTGGGCGAGGAGTCCCCCAGCTCCGAGGTGATGGAGAAGCTGCTCAGAGGGTCGGAGCCAAAGTCGACATCGCCGGCTGCCGGCTGCGACGCCTGAGCATGACGCTGGAGGTGGGGAGGGAGACCCGGAGGAGCGGCGTGGGATTCAGCCAGTTGGGCACTCCCACGGAAATCGGACATAGGCGAAGGCGGCGAGCTGAGTACCGACGCGGCCGCCGGGGGGAGGGCCCCATTCGAGGTCGACTTTGGGTGCTGAGCCGCCGACGCCCACATGCCAACTTGGCCGGGGGGCAGGTCCGCCGCCTGGGAGGGGGCGGCCTGGCGAAGGGCAGCCACCTCGGAGACAACACCCAGCACCGGTGAGCTGGCTGGCAGGGACCCGGGGCTACTTTCGTCCAAGGCCCCCGGGCCAGACGCCGCCCGTCGGATGTGCACCGACGGGGCGTCGGCCATGACCAGCACCGTGTCCAGCACGCGCACCGGGCCGTCCGAGCCACTGGACGCCGATGACGACGCCGAGCACAAGAAGGCTGCAGAGGGATCGCTTTCACGGCTGCTCGGAGCCTCGGGCGCCGGGCTGTCCACGGAAATGTCTGATGAGCTGCCAAGTGGGGCGGCTTCCGGTCCGGCGCCAGCGGCGAGGGCCTCGGGTGATCCAGCCAACAGAAGGGGGACCTAAAAGGAGGGAATTCACGCGCGATGGAGAAGTGTGGGCAGGCAGGGAGAAGGTGGTCAGCGGCGAAGGCACACAGGCGTGGGCGGGGAGGGGGGGGGAGGGGGGGGGAGGGCCCAATAGCCAGCCAAAAGAGACGCACAGGAGCCTTGTCCAGACTCGGGGAGGTATCGTGGTCAAGGAAGACACGGTTCAGGACAACCCACTCATCGTGGCTGGAGGGGCATGAATGTGAGGGCACAGTGCAGGAGAGGGTCAGACAGGCACATGGAGAGCAGACAGAACAACGGACAGCCGGCCAGACATACCGTGAATTCCAGCCACGATAGTGCACCAAGTAGAACCGGGTTGCCGGATCGGCTGGGTCGCTGACTGGCAGGGCAGCCGCCGGATCCGCGGCCACCGCCGTGGTCGTCAGGACCCCGTCCTCGTCAGGCAGCGCGACCAGAAGTGGGGCTGAGTACCGGCAAGACCCACTCTCCCCGCCCCAGGAGAGCGGCTGGACAATGCTCCGCCGAACAACCGACCGGTAGGCCATTTTGTCACCGTGGCTAACAAGAACCGAGTCGCCGGGCTCAAACAGGCGCTGGAAGCCCACGGGAGTGGGCGTGATAGCGCAAGGCAGATCACCTGTGCAGGGATAAATCGAAGAAGCCATGTACGACCCGGAGGCGGAGGGGAGGAGGGGGGGGGGGGAAGAAAAAAGCCCGCAAGAGGGCGAGGGCGGGAATTAGCTGCGGCCGACCAAAGGACAGTAACCGGGCAAAGGAAAGGGGCGCGCAGGGGGAAAGAAACACGAGGCGACGCACTCTGGACAAAGGTCCGGGCATACGAAGACGGCCCAGGCGAGACGCTCGAAGGCCACGGGGCATCCAAGGCAGAGTCGGGGTCAGCGGTCGAACACCAGGCCGGGAGGCCGGCAGACGACGAGGATGTGCGTCGGCGTTTGACCGGGGTCACGGGAGCGGGGGGCACACGCCCTTGAGTCCCTTTCGGCCGCTGAGAAGAAGATGCCCCGGCGCGGGAAGGAGTGCCAGCTAGGGCCGTCGCGGTTTTCCCCGCTCGGGAGACACCCGCCGCAGCAGAGGCAGGAGCGGCACCCGAAGTGCGAGTGGCGGAGGGAGTGGCCCGGGCCGATCGCGCGGAGGCGGTCATTGGAGTCGAGTTCGTCGGAGGATCGGTCCCGATGAATCTCGGCAATTTGACGATAATTGAGGGCCCAAGAGCCGATTCCAGCCAGCTGGGCAGAGCAGTGGAGGTTGTGGCCTGGCTGGCGGGGGCCTGGCTGGCGGGGGCCCGGCGAGTCGACTCGGCAGCTGGGCCGGCCTTAGCGGGGGCTGCCTGGTAGGGGCACATTTGTGAGCTATAAGGGTTCCATCGTGGCCAGCGGAAGTGCCTCGGGAGGGTGCCGGTGGCCAGGTATTGCAACGCTCGACGAAGGCCGAGGGACCCACGGAAGGAGATGCGAGTCAGCTGGCTGGCCAGCATTGGCAGGGCCGACAGCGAGGGCAGACAATCCTCCGGCGCAAAGAGGGCACGCTGCTCCGGGTCCCCGGATGCATGTGCCAGCTCGGCCGCACTTGGGTAATACCGGTTGAGGAGTGTACGTAGGGGCTCCTGTCCGGGAATCAATCGAGCCGTGTGGGCCATCTGCACCACCGAGTAGGAAAGATCCTCGAAATACCGGACGACCACCTCCCCCGGGCCGGGTCGGGCAAACATAGATGGATCCATCTCGTCATAGGGCACCGTCTGCGGGGAGGGAGCGAGGAGGGGCAAGCCGCCAGGTGAGAAAGGGCAAGGGCAAGGGAGGCACAGGGCATCGCCGGGGGGAGGCGGGGGGGGGGGGGGGGCGGAGCGCACCATGGCCGGCCACCAGAAGGTGTCTTTGTCTTCGAGAGGATCAACCAAAACGACAACACGCTCCAGATGAGCTGCGTGTGCATGGTGATGCCCAGGGGTACATGGGGAAGAGGAATTGGGGGGAAGGGGAGGAGGTGAGTGAAGGAGGGAGAGAGAGATGGGTGAAATGAGAAAGAAACGGAGAAAGAGAGAGAGAGAGAGAGAGAGAGGGAGAGAGAGAGAGAGAGAGGGAGAGAGAGAGAGAGAGAGGGAGAGAGAGAGAAAGAGAGAAACAGAGACAGAACCATGTGACGGATTCAACGCACGATGTCTGATGCGGCCAGAGGGCGGGAGGGGAAGAACCAAGAGGGAGGTAGATGCACATCAGGCCGGGTCAGCATAAGTGGGCCAGCCGCGGCTTCGGAGGGGAAAGAGGAAACAGGCGGGAAAGACGTACACAACACGGAAGCCCTTCAGGGGGAGCAGGGCACTCGGCCGAGACACAGGGTACGGACTGCAGAACAACTGGACAAATAGCTGCAGCTCGCTCTTGACGGCTTGCAGCGATCCGGGCTCCGGCGTGTGGTTCCGGTTCCGGCCATTCGCGCCGGGCCCACGGACGTTGGTCTTGATGGCAGCAAAGCGCCTCACCCGGGACATGGCCTCAAGAGCCCGCTGGCAGAGAGATGGATCCGATTGGAGGAGATGCAGCGAAAGCCCTGGCAAAAAACTGGCCCGAAGCGATGTCCCCGGGAAAAGCCCGAGTTGCAGGGAGGCCGCACTCAACTCCGACTGGCCATACTGGAACTGAGCGGTGAGCCCGGTGGAGTCAACCACCGACACGAAGAGCCCAGGCCCGGCGCTTGGGCCAGACCCCGGCCCTGGGGGGGTGACAATGCCGCTGACAGTGCCCAACTCGCCTGGACACCCACTAGGCCCATAGCCACCGGGGACTGTGTCGGACTCCCCATTCGATTGCGCGCCTGACAGGGAGCTGCATGGAGCATTCGCAGCGGGCTGACCATGGGGACCAGCCGAAGAGGAGAACCGCAAGGTCCGGGCGGGGGGCCGGGGGG